AACAACGTTGCAACAAGTCTGATAATATCAACAAGGTTGTTACAAGTTGTTCCATATTCGTTGACAACTTGGGACAAGCAGTGCGAACACAACTTGTTGACGGCTTGTTGGCAGACTTGTTACAAGATGTGAGATTTTTACGCGCGTTATGGGAATGCACTCGGCGAACAGATGCAGAATTAGTCTACTCTATATTACTTAATACGACATTTGACGTAAAATATCAGGCATGATTTGGCAAGCGACAAGTTCGCATGAGAATTTTCGAAACTCCCATGCTCTGATCAGATGAGAAACAAGAGTTGATGAATGTTGGCGGAAATTCTCGTCAAAATTTGTACCAGCTCAGAGTTGTCGAGAGAGTTGGCGATGAACGCGAGCAAGTGCTGAAAACATTCACTTCCCACGACCAGATTACTACTCTGCACTCGATCTCTTCAAGAGTTTATAAAAGCATCGTTTCTGCGCACTGCAACACAGCCATAATTCGACTCAACAACACGTTTCTTCACTTGCTTCGTCGCTGTCAACTGTCAATAATTCTTCTTTAAAAGGTCTTGTTAACGACAGTAACGGACTTTGGACGGCGAGGAAAAACACGTCCTCACCAATTGGTTAAAAACTTTCAAGATTTCTTTAAAGGACATTGCCGGCAAAATTTAAATTTCCTCAATTAAATTAATTCGTTTTAATTTCCTTAATTTAATTTACTTTTCAGAAAGAACTCGTAAATTTGAAACCGTGGCAAACTTTCTTAATTTGTTTTGTTCTAGAGATATTTAGATATTTTTTATGACCATCATCATAGTATATCATAATTTTCGCCCGATTCATTCAATTCGTCCAAGACATGTTATCTATATCCATCACGGTCAGTCGCAAATGAATACATCGGAATTGCGTTAATGTGAGTTTTTAACCCTAAATGCCGAGAAAAGCGGAATTTTTTTTTTTAATAAATTACTTTCATATTTTACGAGTTCTTTCAACAATTTTGTCGCCAATGTCTTTTAAAGGCTATCCTTACGACGATGAACTAGTGTCCTTTGGCTGTCCGTTAATCTCATCCTTCAGGATGCCATTCTCGGCGGCGTTCTCCTTGTATCGTTTCACCATTGGCTCTTCTTCGGAAATTCCCGGCAGGTTTCCCATACCAAATGGTCGTTTTACGCTATTCATAACCAAACTAACGGCAGCGTTTGTAGCGGCCGGCGAGAGGACCCCAAGGGGCGAGGTCTCCGGGGTTAGGGTTGTTTCAAGAGGCGGGGCGCGTATCTGAAGTTTGTTGGGTCGCTGTTGCTCAGTTGTGAGGGATGAGGTCGAGGTTAGGGCGGTGGGGGTTTGTACGGGGGTCAGCAGACCTGGAAAAACAAAGGAAATTAGCCTTTTCTCAAAAGAGATCACAGTGCATTCTGGAAATTCTGGGATCGTTTGGAGGGACAAAATATATGGTGACAGGCGTCAAATATGTGAAAGAGTAGAAGTATCTACTGTCAAATATCATCTTTTTAAACGACCAAAAATGAAATATCTCCTTTTTACATTAAACATTTAATTTAAATGTGTGCTGCCATATTTCTTGTCCCTTCAACATGGGATTCACGCGACAAGACCCAGGACTTTAGGAAATGGTTAATTATTGTAATTTGTATCCAGGCATTAATTGCACAGCTATCAAATTTCCTATTGAAGATATGATGGTCTGGAATCCAGGCAAACTTCTAAGGCACAAAATAGAAGAGTCAAGAGCTTTGTTTGATGTTGAATTGTACCTCATCGTGCACAAATCCTTTGTTAAATATTATGATTGTGGTTGCACGTTTCATCTCAGCTATCCCTACTGGACGAATACTTCATTGTACAAAAATACAATGAGCTCAATTACCGAGACTGTGTACAAATTAATATAAACCCAGACAAAAACATAACACAACAAGTTCTGAAATATTGAAAATATTGGAAATAATGGAAAGTTTTATGAATTATCTGTAACTTACCAGGCAACACAGCATTCGAAACCGGCGGCAACTTCTGAAGAGCCTGCATAGCCGACATGGGCGTCTTACTGCTCACTTTCACCAGCGTCTCGGCATTCTGTACCACCACCTTATCTGACGAAGGCACCCGCGTCACCTCCTGCTTTATTGAAACTACGGGCATCCCCGCAGGTTGGAGGGTGACTGTTTGAATCTTGCCCCCAGGTGAGGTGACGGGTGGGAGTAGATGTTGTACTTGGTGCATACCTGTGTACGAGAGGTTACCACCGGGGGTCTGTGTGACCAAAGTGGTCATGGGGATGTTGGGTAATGAGGGTGGTTGAAGTACTTCAGTTCCTGCTGCTGTCTGATTGGTTGGTTTGCTCGCCATGGTGGGATACTGGAGGCCATGAGTTGGCGAGGCGGGGGCAGACCTATGAAGAATCAGATATTAAAAGCAGCCATTTTATCATTCTGTCCTGTCAGATACCAGACAAGTTGAACTCACTGAGCGGCAACGCTTGATGAGTGAAGTCATCTGGCATTAGACAGTATAAAATAACAAAGCAGGCACATTAGGGTGCAATGCAACTTAATGGGTTAAACATCACGTTTCTTCCTAAAATATCATTTCCTGAACCCTATCACAGTAAGTTACAGTACCTTGATGACAATGTTCCGAATGGATATCTAAAGCAAGGCACGCCTCGTTGCCTCCTCTTGCGAAAAGCTTGTTCAGCCAACTTTGGTTCACAGCTTGGATCAATTCTCCAAAACGACCCTTTACCTGGTTCATCTTGCGCTCTCGGCACTTTGACAAAGTAGCGATTCAATGAGAGATTGTGACGAATCGAATTCTGAATGAAAGATTTAGTAGTTTGTCAGTAAAGCTTGTTCTTACTCGACCACCAAGGACAACATTTAGAGCTAATCAGTATAAATAAAGTTAGTTTAATAGTGACATTACCTGCCAGCCTTTATCAGCTGATCGATAATATGGATAGTTCTTTGTAATATGATTATATATGCCACTAAGTGTTAATTGTTTATCTTGAGCGGATAATATAGCTTGAACGATCAACTGTGCATAGGAATAAGGTGGTTTTCCATCCTCCTTGCCAGAGTTATCCTTGCTCTCGTTCTTCGGCGTGCTGGGTTGTTCCTCGATGACTTCGGTGGTTTCTTCAAGGAAGGTTGGTGTTGTGCCGATGCTGCTCCCCGGGCCTGGACTGGTCGGGCAGGAGTTGGGCACACTGAAATATAGAATGGTCTACTAAGATGGCAGAGGGAAAGTGGGACATTAAAATTGATTGTGAAATGCGAGTGTTTAGGTTTTGAATCAAACAGGAAAATTTTACTGGAAAATGTCCATGGAAATTGTAAGTTTGAAAAGTGGAAAGACTCAGGTCTGTAGCACAATCAGAAATTGTGGCCACAAATTGAGAGCTAAGAGACCTAAGATGAACTAGCTTATCTTAGCTGAACAATTACATGCATAGAATGTACACATACTGATGTGTACAGAATATTAATGAGGCAAAATGCTAAATTATTTCATGTTATCGGATGAATGTATAAAAGATAAATATTTTACAACAAATTACCACATAAAAAAACAAAACATAAATTTTATCACGGTATTTGCCGATAAATCGCTATAACTGCTACAGAAAACAGAACAAATTACAGTAGATCACAACAAACTACAGAAGTGGGACACATTTGGTATTTCGACTGTAAGGGAACTACATTTTGTAGTTCTTTCATTGTACAAGGGGTGTGTGGGGGAGGTAGGGGTGTTAAAAATGGACTGTGAAGAGGGATATAAAAATGGCAATAAAAAATGGGGGAAGCACAAATTACAGCATTTTTGGTGATGCCAGTGGAATAAAAGAAGTGCCTTTGTCAAGGAGAAACAGATCATTGTTGTGCTCACATATGTGAATCTGGATGGATGATTCATGGCTCACTCAAAATTATTTTAAACAATCAAGCGCCAGAGCTCTCTGCCTGGCAAGTAAAATCGTCTGGCATTAGGCAGAGAAAAATGATAAGGTAGGGTGCACTAATACTTAATTAAAAAATCAAGCACACAACTTGCCTACGTTGTCATAAGTGAGTTGTGTGCTTGATTTACACAGTACAACTCAAGTTATAAGCCGATTGCATGCGACAGTTTTAGGCAAAAGTTGTGTAGTGCAAATCGACCTATAAAGCAAATGCACTTTTGTAAACTGCAGAACTTATTCTGACAAGATTACAACTGTACAAAAGTGAAAAATCTGGCTGCACAAGATATTTCCCAGGTGCAACATCAGACAATCATATATGAAGGGGCTTCACTTGAAAATGGCAGCAAATTATTACCCTGGCATGCTTAGCATAAATATTATTCTTGCGAAATGAACACTATAGTGTAGCTTACACAGTATGCAATATATACTGTTTACATTTTAATGTTTACATATGTACTCTACGTTGTAGCCAACAGAATACCCTTCCACCAGATTTAGTACATGTAACACAAACCGCCACAGTATAATATTACACGTCTACATGCAACTGATATTGTTTACAGTTCCGCAAATTACACAATTTGGCGCTGCTGTACGGTAAAGGATTTCGCAATCCAGTGTTTTGTTTATATGGTGACGTGACGTTTATAGGGCAAGACTCCAAAACAAGGCCACTTTTCGAAGCAAAATATTAGCTTTTCGTGAAATTCTTTAGCCCGTACTATTCTAGAAGGTTTTTGACGAGAGTGTGTTGTGCAAATGGCCCAAAACGAGATCAGCTGTCTGCCGATTACTGCGTTTTTCAAAAATGTGACCTCATTAGCACAAAACAACAAACAAATGCGCTTGCTAAGGTAAAATGACTAAAATCACATACTCGCTTTGAAGGCAATAATTTAGGCTTTTAACACTTCAATACAAAAATAAAACGCACACACTAACCTTATCGTCCCCGTAGGCGAAGGAATCGGTGAATTTGGAGTAGATTTAGCACTGGGAATTTTGATTTGGAGCGATGGATAATGTTTCGTTGTTTTCGGGGGGCTCGGAACACGCCGAGGTACATTTTCGTCCAACAGCGACGTGAACCATATTTTTACGTTTGTCGAAGGAAATCGTAGAACGCACCTATTGTGGAAGAGGCGTTAGACGTAAATACTAACAAATAAAAAAACAAATATGGCCATGAAATAATTCACGAAACACTCACGTCGCGGCCAATTTGAGCGGCGAGTTTCCACGGCGGAAAAACGTGCCGTCAACAAAAACACCGTTTTTGCCGTTGCATTTCAAGAAAAAGCTCTTGGAATCAAACGTGATTTCAAGATGTCTCCTTGATACGAAGCTTGAATGACCCATGTTCACGTCTACACTGCCCAAACTGCTGTTTCTACCGATAGAAATTCGATTTTGACGGACTAAGTATTCGAATTCGCGACCCTCCAATTTGGCAATTGGCTTGACTTCGCTCACCGGAGACCAGATCGGTTTATCGCTGCTGTTTACGCCAGATTTCAAAGCAAGTAACGCCAATGCATCGTCTTCGTGGTCGGCCATCTGCACGTCCATGTTTTTCGTTGAAAAAAATGAGGATTTTTGCTGTTTTGTGCGTTCAAAAGCAAAGCCCACGATTTGTTTTCAAATGAAAACAACAACACGAGGTCCATACATCCGGGACTTGGTAGAAATAAAAACACTATCCATATATGGGCATTAGGAACCGCGAATTATGCGCTTTATAGCGGATGGTGAAAAAATAAATGACCATTTAGCGCGAAGGTAGCGAAGAGGGGGGATGGGAGGGCCTCAGGCCCCCTGTTAAAAATTTCATGCCAGTTCGTTTGGGGGAGCTGACCTCCCAATATTTTTTGCGGATTGCAAATTCATGACGCGGAACCATAGAAATAATAGACATAACCCGACGATGAATGAACTATCATCTCGTAATTTTATAAAGTATTAGCAAAACAGTTACGTTCAGAGCTTGCAAAAATGTTTTATGAGTAAGTTAATATATTTTATACGCGAAACTACACGAAAAAAATACTTGTTTTTTATACAAGGCTGCACGATTTTCACCGTTTTTGTAACGGCACATTTGCTTTGAGCCTTTAATTTAAAGAACTTAATATTTCAAATTCTATCCCCAAACTACAAATACCAAACGTTTTGACGATGAAAACTTTATAGTTTTAGTTTTGTTTATACTTTGTAGTTTGCACTCCTACTCAAATTCAACATGGCGGATTTATAAGGGCATTTTTGTTTTCAGTTTGGACACCGGTCACGTGACCAAGCACGCATTCTAGGTCTAATATTTCTATGCGCGGAACGTAGTGCAACAGTAGTGTTGAAATGATGCGGTAATACAAAATCCAAACAATGTATGAACGATCTGAATAGTAATATTCATAATACTAATATATAAATATATAATAGTATTATATATTTATAAAATAAATATAAAATAATAATAAATAAATATGGATTGTAAATATAAATAGTAAAAATATAAATATAGATATAAAGAGAAAATGTTCTCGAGTGCATGAGATATATCATATTTTCCAGACAAAGCGCGCAAGCAGAAAACTCTGCCCACGGCGGCTGGGTTTCGAACCCGCGACCTTCAAATTAATACTATATCGAAGTAATCTAAAGTAAAGTAATCGATCTAATTATTATAAATTATAACATCCTCGTCCCCAGGCCCAAGCTCGGTGATTATAATTGTTCAATTATAAATTTTTAAGTTTTGATTCTCTTCCTTTTTGAAAGCGTTTCTTAACTCATTGTAATCTTGAAATCCAGTCTGTTTTTCAACTACTTCCAGCCATTTCGCCTGAATTGCTTCTTTGGATGATAAATCCATCATCTCTCGCCCTTTCGTTGCAGATCCTGTCGCAATCAACACGGACATGGCATCATCAGGCACGCCACAAGCTTTATTTCGATAACGTGCCTCGCGTAACGAAAATTTAGTCGACATGTATCCCTTCATAAATTCAAACGAGCTCATTTCCACAGCCTTTTTAATCCTCTCTCCATCTTCAATTACCATGAATGCTGCAACCTTCTTCACCACACTTTCTAAATCTTCTTTCATGTCCTCGAAGAACAGGAACAACAAGTTCGAGTCATGCCTGGGAAACAAGAACCTTTTTAACAATGAGAAAGCTTCGGATTGATACAACTACCGAACAAATACAAGAACTTCGACTTTTTGTCGGGAAGTTAGCACTACAAGGAAGGGTGCAGGTTTTCCATGGGGTGGTGCATGAAGAAGCCTTATTGCCCACTCTCCTCTGCAGTCTGCAACGCTACTATCACAACATTACTATTATATGAGTCAGGCTGAATCTGCATATTCGCCGCTCTGTTACGTTTTACATTATCTTTTCTTTATAAAGTTTTTATCGGCACCTATGCAGGATTGCAGCTATGTGTGACTGGACAGTTGCAGCGTTGCACAGTACAGTAAATTTTAAAATATAGCTGTATAACAATCACTCAACATGTTTACGTATTTAACCATATTTAACCCATTCAGGGTAAAATAATAAAGTAGGGCGCATCTGGGCGCATTGCCACTTAAAGGTTAACTAAAACATTCTGAGCGGTATTTTCTCACGAGCTCACAAATCAATTAAATCGTTTCAAGAAATCGCAACATGCTATTAAACAGTAGACGTTCACTAATCACTATTCAGTCGAAAAGCAGAAAATGTATGGTCAAGCAGATTTTTTTTGGAGTGGTACTGGAATTCCCTAGAAGAAAAGAGTCAAGCTACGAACCGCGATTATGGTATTCAAGGCTCGAAACCAATTGGTACCGGAATAATGCATTTGTGACTTATTTCAACTGAAGTCGTCAGTGACTAATCGAGTCACCAGAAGTTCTGCGGACAATAATTTGTGGGTACCAAGGAATAAATTGGCAATCAGACGAAAGGCACTACCATACAGTGGTGCAACACTTTACAATAGTTTGCCACTTGAGATAAGAAACTCTTCTTCGGTTGCATCATTCGAAATAAGAATATATCAATACTTTTTAGAAATAGTTTAGACATAGTCATATGTTATCTATTGTATATATATACCATATATCTTCTTTTTCCCCACGTTACCTAATATATTTGTTTGTTTGTTAATAGTCGTAGTTATAGAAGGCCCATGCAGTGTAAGATTAGCTTTGCTAAACTGGTTTTTGTAATACCTTCTTTAAATAAAGTCTATTATTATTATTATTATTATTATTATTATTATTATTATTATTATTATAATAATGAAAACTTTATTAATAGAACATTTATAGATATATACAATTGTAAATCTCACTTCTTGATGCAACCTACAATTGACTACTTGAATCACTTATACATAATATTGTTGGTGTTGATTATCCAGTCCTAACTCATTTAGCATTTTTACGAATGTATGACATTCTTTGTCAAACACCCCTAGCGAACTGACAGAAAGATTTATAAATTTAACAGATGTAAAGTTTTGATCCAGTTCTCTAATTAGGTTTTTATATTTAGCTTTCTTGCGGTTAACATTGTTTGTGAGGTTTGATTCAAAGCCTACGGTAAGTTCAACGACGTAGAGGTGTTTGTCTGAAGTGGAGACAAGTAAATCAAGACGATATTCATCATCATCATCATCATCATAATAATAATAATAATAATACTATACTGGTTCTACTCTCTACGCTGATCTACATGGATTCAAAAGCCCTTCAATACTTACTGGTGATATGTATCGCCCAGATTTGTTATTATCGTGCTCAAATGGTTCCTTATATGTGGTCGAACTCACCACTGGTTATGAGACAAACCTCAAGAACAACGTAAAACGGAAGAAGGATAAATATAGAGAATTATTGAGACAGCTAGGTAAAAATTTTAACCAAGTTAAATTTATAAATCTCTCCATCAGCTCTTTAGGTATTTTTGCAGAAGAATGTTCTACATTTTTAGACATGTTAGAAAGTATTGGTCTTGACAAAAACCACCAAATGTACTGCGTTAAGAAAATGATGACTATTGCTATTAGAACTACATATTACATTTTTTGCTGCCGAAATAGAGAATGGGAAAATCCGGATTTACTAACAATTTGACTTATCTGATTGTATATATATATATATATATATATATTGCATGCACTTTGTTCTGTTATTTTAGATTAGTATTGTGTGATTCAAATAGCCAAACGTAAGTTACCTTTATAAGAG